ACGGGAGTTGATGTCCGGACGGGATTGGGGTCCGGATCGGGGCCAAGGTCCGGACCGGGATGGAGTTTCTGACCACAGTCGAACTCGGGGCCGGAACTGAGGCCCGGACCGAAGCCAAGGTCCGGGCCGGGGTGGGGCCTGGGGCCCGCTCCTGGTTATTCATGGTGGTCAGGGGCGGACCCCAGATAACCCGGGGTGGGATCCCGCCAGGCCCTCCTGCCTTGGGCAGGGAGAGCCTTAACCGCGCAGGGTTCTAAAATGGGAGGCGACCACAAAGGGGCGCTGTTACATGGGGTTCCATTCAGCGCGCAGGTTCTACTGCTTTGGGCCAGGATGGGGCCGGGACCTCCAGATCCCGCCTGATAATTCCCATTCCCTTAATCCTCACCTCCAGGGTAAGGAACACACAGACTGCCAGTGTCCTTAACATTCATGAGTTCAATATCTGATTACTGAGTGCCTGCTATGTGCTCAGTCCTGTGCTGGGTGATTCTGGGGCCAGAGCAGTGATCAGGCAAGCCTACATCCAGTGATCAGGCTCCCTGTCCAGTGCGGGAGATATACCCATCGCCAAACAATGACAGCCCAGTGAGGTCAGGGTGAGGGTGGAGGAAGCACAGGCACGGGGGTCAGAGATGTGGTGAGGAAGCACATGGACCTGTGGGATCCCAGAAGAGGTGCTAGAACCAGTCTGGGGCAATCAGGGAGGGCTTCTTAGAAGAGGGGACAACCGAGAGATCTGCAGAAAATCATAATGAGCAACAGTAACAGATTTTACATTTATACAGAGCTAAGTGCTACACATGTGCCTACAGCTGATAAGCAGTAAAGCCAGGATTCAAACAAGCTGTCAGGCTTCAGGGTCCTGACACAGAACCCCTCTGCCAAGGACTCTATCACACTGTGAGTTCCTCCAGGGTGGAAACCTGTCTGGTTCACTGCTAAATCCCCAGCTCCTAAAACAAGGCCTGGCACACAGTAGGCACTGAATAAATATTTATCTTTTTATTTTGAAACAGTTTTAACACTTGCAAGAAGTTGCGGAAGAGTATAGAAAATTCTTTTGTATCTTTCACCCAGCTTTCCCCAATAACAGCATCTTATGTAACCACAGTACATTGTCAAAACGAGGATACTAACATTGGTCCCATGCTATTAGGTCAGGTCCAGACCTATTTGGATTCATGCAAGATTTCGAGCAGAGGAGAGGTCATGGCCCACTGTGCTTCCTGACCCCTGAGAGCCCTCCCTGTGCTAAATCTTGGGCCTGAGTCCCAAATACCAGGAGGATCAAGAAAGACCCTGAATGTCCTGTGTGATGGTAGGCAAGTCTCTACTCTTCTCTAGGCTTCAGTTGGTTTCTCTGTGAAATGAACTTGAAATAGGCTTTCCTCTTTTAGCATAATATTGAGAACAAACATTTAGTGAGCATCTATTATATGCCAGCCTCTGTTATAAAATGCTTTGTATTTATTAATTTAGCTAATACTCATAACCTTCTGAAGCAGATTCTTTTACTAGTCTCATTTTACAGATAAGGAAATTAAGGCACAGAGAGGTGATGTGACTTGGCCGAATAAGTAGCAGAACCAAGATCTGAACCAAGGCTGTCTGATTTCTGTGCATTTGTAGGCATTTTGATTTTTTGTCTTTTTTTTTTTCTGCTTTTTTGGAGTGATCACTTAGGGTACTTTATTCACTACTGTCATTGTGGTAAATGCAGTAATTCCAGGCCTGAAAGATTAAAAGCCCTGCCAAAAGAGAAAAAAAAAATGACCCGTTGTGGAATGCCTTCCACTTTAGTCCTCTGCGGCTCTGCTTCCTTTCACCTTTAAAGGGAAGGGATATGGACCAGAATAACTTTCCTTCCCTGTGAGTGCTAACCATCTGAGATGGTTTTTCTTGCCCCAGCAGCTGCTACCTTGGGCTCAGCCTGCAGCATCCCGTGAGGCAAAGCCATGGATCACAGCCTGCACTTTAAAGGGCCTGCTGACTTGGGTGCAGGACTCTTCCCTTACAGCGGTGAAATCAGAGAACTCCAGTCATCACTCTCTGATCATCCAGTCAGTACTATTCCTGGAATGACTCATGGATGTATACGGTGATGGTGCCAACACTCTGCCACAGGTGACACATCACTGACACCAGGAAGTACATCAAAGGGGGAATCCGTGGGATGCAACTGCCTGCCTTCAGCAGCCATTGATCAAAAAACCCAGCATGAGCATAACACAACTTCCCATCTTCCTTTTTTTTTTTTTTAAGTGGAGGGATGGGGATTGAATCCAGGACCTCATGCATGCTAAGCATGCGCTCTACCACTGAGCTAGCCCCCAGCCCCCCATCTTTGCTTTTAAATTGAGTTCTGCTCTTTTGGCAGATTGTATACTCTGTTCAAGGCAGCAAAGACTGGCCTCTGAAGATCAAGTTGTCTTAGAAGGAATAATGGGCTGGTTTTGATGTCTGCCTTTAACCTCAATTTAAATATTACTTTTGTTTTAATGCCCATTTTCTTTAATGCTATATTTAATCTTTATGACATAGAAATTCAACATAGTGAAACCTGAAAGGAGACTTTGTACACATAGCTATTTATTTGTACACATAGGTATATATGGTATCTGCTGACTGAATTAAAAGAATATGTGGATCCCTTGGCTACTGTTCTAATCAAAGGACTCCTTCATTTGGTCACTTGCTGCTACATTCCATTTGTTACTTTTTTCTCTGCTCTCTCTTCTTCAGTTTCTAGGATTCTGCTCATTTCCAAAAGTGTGTGGGCACTGTCCCAGCCTTCTCCCCACTAGAAAATATGGGGAAAGAGGACTGGCGGAAATTGGCTGATGGAGGCTTTTTATATTTTCTGTGATAGAAGTAGTATTAGCTGCGTGATTAACTGTCTTAGAATAGTCCCAAAATTTAAGAAAATACCCCCTCTCTGCAAGATCTTACTAAGATTTGTTCCATCTCATTACGAAGGAGTTGCCGCAATTACTCCACTCTCTGCACCTCAGATTCCCCTGGAAATAGGTTCTTTCTGCTCTCACTGGTTCTGTTTGTTTGCCTACTAGGTCCAGTACTTCTGTCTAGTAACAAACCCTGTCTTTTGGTAGAGAGAAGGACACTCCCTTGCTCACTATTCCATGTGACTTAGACAAGCTGACCTTAAGTCCTGCCACACACTAGACAAATGACAAAGCCTCGCCAATCAAAATAAGCCATACTGCCTGGCTACTAGTTCAAGTTGTCATGTAGCAAGCCAGCGCCAGTGAAAGTCCATCTACATACGAAGTCACCCAGAGACAGCTGGAGAAAAACACTGAGCCCTTGAATCTAGCCCTGTGGAAGCTACACCTACCACAGGATTTTCATTTTTATGAACTAATAAATTCTCTTGTTTACTTAAACCACTTTGAGTTGTTTCTGACCCCTGCATCAGAGTCCTGTCTCAGGAAACCAAATTGCTCCCCTCAGTACCAACACCACATAGAAAGCACTCAACTTGATGAGTCCAAGTTGATCAAAATAAGAGCCTTTATAGATGTCTCTGGAGAGATGGCGAGAGAAAAAAGATAAGATATAAATAACCATTATGTACAACTTCCAATGGTAAAATCCTCCCAGTCACCCCTTCCAGCTTGAACTCCAAAGTGTCTGAAGCAGAGAATACAAAAGTATCCAGGTTCTGTCTCCAGGTGCTGATAGAGAAGGGGCAGGTTAGGCCTAGAAACAAAACAAGTAGGAGGCATTAGAAAAGGCTGCCCCTCCGCCTCCCCTCCCTCCCCCCAGTGAGCGGAAATCAGTGGAGAAGCTCTGGAGGAGGCTCCCTACTGTGACCTCTTGAAGTCAAAGAGAAGATGCCAAGTAGCTGAGACGATAGCAAAAGAGATGCAAGGTAGAACTAAATTAAGTCAAGACTGAAAAGCGGGCTTAAAGACCTTCCAGAGACTCTACTCTCCTCATTTGACAGATAAAGGAGAGCTACAGGAAAAGCTGGGGCTGCCTCTGCCCAGTACGCCCAATGTGTGCAGACGAGGGAGAGGTGTGTAACTACCTCCCGGGCATATATCGAAGGAGCAGATACGACGTAAATCGAACGAGAGTCTCCATCTTCAGGGCGAGTCCAATCTGAGGACGGGCTGCGGGAGGAAGGGAGTAAGATCCAGACCCTTTAAATTCTCACATCTTGTTTTCCCACCCACCACGGAGAGGAATCCAAAGCCAACCAGAGGGATTGTGAAACGACTCAAACAGAAAAGAGTTGGAGCTGGGAGAAGTGAAAGCGATCGATCAGGAAAGCCCACCAAGGCATCAAGCTAACTGCATTACGGAGACTGATGGAAGCAGCCAAGAGGGACAAGGAATACGTCTGAGGCCAAATCGCTCACCTTGGGCCATCCCCGGACCCCTCGGGCGTCCTCATGTTGTTCAGTGCATCAGGGAGCGCTTGGACCGATGGCTCCGGGGTCCCCGCCAGCAAGCGAGACCCAGCATCTCGGCCAGGGCCACGGCGTCGCACATGAACCAGCAAGAGCGCAGCGCCCGCCAAACCAGCGGCCACCAGCAGTCCCAAAGCCGGCGGC